TATATATATAGACGTCCGTTCGTTTAATTTTAAATATTTTATGTTTTTATATAAGAAACTTTTTATTCACGTGAAGAAAATTTCTAACAACAATTTATTCGAATATTAAGTATGATTCACATTCGATTGAAACACTAGTAAGAAATAATTTAAACATAAGTTCCTTGATTAAAGCTTTGACATTTTATGTACATGCTTTACCTTTGCACATAATTATTTATAGATTATTAATCTTAACAAACGTATTTTTCGGTTAGCCGTTACCTATACCTATTTAGATTATCCACGAAAGAAACTTTGTAAGAAACGAACTTACTTTTAATACTAACGTTTAATATTAACAGTTATAATTAAATGCGGTGCCAAAAAATATACTATATTTTAAATTCCCTTATAACAAAATGAAGGTGTTCCTGATTCAAACTATCGGAAAATAATTCATAGATGATTCACAGGCAATTCATAAAACATTCAGTAATGATTCAAAAAAAAAATTGAATCATTCGTCATACAAGTTATGAAAGATTTTGCGTAAGCGATTGAATACATTTTTAAAAGTGTGGTTTTTTCAGTTTGTTATGGCACTCTTGTACATAACACTATAGAAATTGTTTCAACAGGGAATTAACTTAAGGAGGTTAAATACATATCATCGACAATATTTGGGGGCTTTAATTAAGTTTTTTGATTCATTCCATATGTTATAAAAAATAAACGTACTTTTTTTGGGCGATCCCAGCCATGTAGTTATTAAGATATTTCAAAATAAAAAATAAACAACTTAACACGGGCTGTTTTGGGAACAATGTTGTGACCTCAAAATGACATTTAGTAATAGTTAAAAAATCGACAAAAAATATATTTTGATACTTCAAATACTGCAGATTCATATGATCCTCTGATTTTTGTCAGTATCTATACTAATTGAAGAGAAAATCACGATTTTTTGAAATAAAAATGAAAACTTTGGTTAGGTTTATAAGATGGATGCACGTATTCCGTAAGAATAAGCTGTATTACGTTATGTCGGTAATGCTGTGAGCTTCCCACACCCTTGACCCCGCTTCACCACCCCTCTAAAAGATTGTATCTAACCTCCTTAATGATAGTAAGGACAGGACATTTATTTCACGAACCTAAAAAACAGCAGACGGTCGCTACGTTCTTTTTTTCGTTAACTGATATTTTGTGATAAAGCAACAACTCAACATATGTATTTGTACGTAATTACATTTTATATATGTATAGAGATCGAAGAGGTCGTCTATAAGAGAGAAAAAGGTGTTTCGTCCCGAGAGCACGCCAGGACTCATCAGTAAGGCTGATGACGTGCTCCCTGCCTTAGACATAGAGAAAGTGTGGGCTTAGACTATCTCGATCGCGCTTATATAGTAATCGTGCGGGAATTTCGCCGGTTGACGGGAGCGAACTATGAGGGGCTTGGCCACCTGGCGAGTGGAGCCTGAAGCGCGAGAGAAGTGAGATGCCACATATGTGTACATACATACTCACATTATGTGAAGCTAACTTATAAAAATAATTTACTAGATAATTTAGCAAGATTCACATGCGATTCAAACACTAGTCAGGAATAATTTAAACACAAGTTTCTTCATTATAGTTTTGATAGTTAATGCCTATACTTGAGTTGTACACACACGTGTACAAACACATAGACGCGCGCACGCGCACGCGAATAATTTTAAAAAGTGTAATGCTCAATCATTGTTATTATCTCTGCTTTTTTAAATAAGTACATGGATACAGCTTAAAAGAAACGAACTTACTACTACCCCGAGAAAGTTTTGGCTCAGATTTTGGTACCGTAAAATTGAGGTAAAATTTGAAGATGACGAAGAAGTCCTTTACCCTCAATGAACACATATGATTACTGTCTACATTTCTAATCGAATACGTTGCAAAACAATGTACTAATTTTACGTTCCCTTACAAGTAGGTATCGCTTCCGTTGATTCAAATCACCAAAAAATAATTCATAGAAGAATCATAAAGTATACAATAATGATTAAACAAAAAAATCGAATCATTTGTCATAAAAGTTGTTACAGTTTTTGGGTAAGATACTTATCCAATCATTGAAAGAAATTTTTTTTTTTTAGTTTGTAATGGTACTTTAGTATATACCATTACAGAAATTGTTTCGATGACGAATTTACTTGGTGATTGCAAGGACATTTATTTTATGATCCTGAAAAACAGTTGACGATCGCTACGTCCTTTCTTTTTCGTTTGCTTGTATTTCTTGATACATGAATAATTATAATATTCAATGTTTTTTTACAAAACTATCGATTTATGTTCAGGGAATTTAAAATGAAGATTAATTGAAAAACTAAGCATGACTCATGCAATAGATATACTATTTATAAATAATTTAAACATGATCACGTTGTCAGTCTTGATTACAACTTTGACATACCAGTTGTATGTGTCAACTTTGCACACATACGCGCACACATATTCTCGAAGAATTTTCAAAAGCAGATTTTTTATCTATCGTTATAATCTGTACTTCTTCATATACTACTTATCTCGCTTTTCATTCTATAATGCATGATGTTACTACTAAAAATATTCCACTAATATTAGACGTAAAGCTCTATCATTAAATAACACATAAGCGACACTCACATCTTTATTAATTAAAATTATGAAAAAAATTCTAGCACGATTTACATGCGAGTCATAAGTATTTATTAAAAATTATTACTTTTTTTATTTTATAGAAAATTATTAACAGCGCTACAATTAATAACAGTACGGATACTACTTTTAAAGGTATTTACTTACTCTTACCTTTGACAGATTTAATATAAGGCCACATACAATGTAGGAGGCATACCAAGTTTTTGCTTTTATCATTGGGGAGTGAGTATAAAAAAAAAATTCTGTTTTTTTACTCAAATAACAAGTAATTGAATATAATCTGCTTAGAACTTCTACAGTTGATACAATATAGTATATT